TAGGTAAATGTTTCATACAGCTTCCCATTGAAAAAAATATTGTAACGTTATACCAGAATAAAGTATATATCTACTTTTATTGACTTACATGTCAAAACTTCAACTCATCTGTTTATAATTAAAGGGATATTGATAAAATTTTAGGTCAGAATATTCATTATAGTATGAAGTATGTAAACTCAAGTCCATATAAACAATACAAATCGATAATAGAGCAAACATGGACACAAAGCATTAGAGATGAGATCAGATACCTTAAAAGCGTAAACTTCCCTGTTCACATCCGCCGTACTCTTTAATATTATAAGGAAAACGGGAAATGCTGAGACATCTTCATATTTTAATATTTTACTAGAAAAATACGTCAAAGGTTATGTATCTTATCACCTGCATAAGGGGCTGAAATTTCTCAGTTGATTCGATACACTACAGCATGCTCTACGTATGAACAATTTCTAAAACGAGACAAACTATTGACAAGCAAATTGCTGAAACAAGAATATCAGTAGTCTCATTTAAAGTCATCATTTTTTTAAAAAAAATTATTGTCAATACAATGACCTTGACAACAAATACAAGTAAGCATTCAGTTAAATGCTGATTGACGTTTTTCATATTAATTTTAAGCCATTATTTATACACTGAACTTGTTGTTAATAACGGGATGTAATTTCTTAAAGAGGAGAGAGAAATGTCCCTGGAAAGTTTACCACGGGTAGTAAAAATAAAGTACCAAAATTATAGATAATATTTTTTTAAAAAGTTATTTTTTATTAAAAAACCAACTTACATTTACTAACCTTGGTCACTGGCAAATTATTTTGCTAAAAATCATTCTGATTGTACACACAAGTACTCTGAAGTCGACATCAAAAAGATGGTTGAGTTTCTCATTGACAATTTGTTAGTAGTGTTTGGAGATCATTTCTACCAACAGTCTATTGGAATTCCCATGGGTAACAATTGCGCCACGTTATTAGCAGATCTATTTTTCTATTCATATGAAGCAAAATATGTGCAAAATCTTATGCGTGAAAAGAAGAATACACTTGCTGTAGCCTTTAACTCAACATTCAGATATATCGACGATGTATTGTCAAATAACAGTGGTAATTTCCATTTTTATGTCGATACGATATATCCTGGTAAGCTTGAAATAAAAGATACAAGAAAGTCAGACAAATTTGTTTCATATTTGGATATTTTACTTGAAAAAGAGGTTAATTGTAATCTAAAAACTAAGCTCTATGATAAACTTGATGACCTTATAACTTTCCTTACCCAAGCAGAAATCAACTTTCATCACTTTCGTACGGCATTTATATATCTCAGTTGATTCAATACGCAAGAGCATGCTCTACGTATGAACAATTTATAAAACAAGGTAAATTATTGACAAACAAGTTGATGAAACAAGACATTTAGGAATCTCGTTTAAATTCATCATTTCGTAAGTTCTATAGTTAAAATAATGAACTTGTCAGCAAATACAATTTATCATTAAGTCAAATGCTGATTGATGTTTTTCATACTAATTGTTAGTCCATTAATTATACATTGAAATGACGACAGATTTTACCGTTATTACCCGATTATGAGCACACTGCAGATTTGACCGATCGGCAGGGGATGCTCACTCCTCAATGGGACCTGATCTCACCTCGGGTAACTCCTGCTTTTGGAGTCCGTGTTTACTCTGCTTCTATTGTGCATTGTTTATGAACTTTTGACCTTGGATGCTGTTCATTATCTCCATACCTTTCATAAATGACTTCAAATGTAGCCTATTTTAAGATAACGGCAAGCCTTTACTTTATCATGTTCGTCATTGTTAAGAAGGCAGCACTGTTTAAATGATATAACCTTTTTTCTCTCAAATTAAACATCAAATAGCGCATTGCGACCAAAATTATGTAGAGACATTATTCTTTGCGTGATACAGAATAGATGTGACCTCATAGCTGATTTTCACATACTTGGAAAATGTTTTAAAATGTGCAATCTCGATTACAAAGAAAATATAATTGCTAAATAACAAAGAGCTCATTAATACATTCACGCTCGAAAGTCAATTCAGACATAACAAATCAGGAACAGAGGAAATACGGACCTCTTAGACATTAGAGGTTGGATCAGATGTCATGGAAAAAAGAACATCACTTGCTGATCGGTTACACCCATATTATGCTCCTTGACAGGATCGAAAAAAACCCCAATAATATCTGCCAAAAACTCAGTGTAAATAATTATTTTAAATTTAGTATACAAGTCATCAGTCAGCATTTGACTCGATGATAGATTTTATTTGGTGAAATTTTTTTTTATCGACTATAAAACTAATAAAACTACGACTTTAAAAGAGTCTTTATATAACCTTGTTCTGTTAATTTGATTATCAGTAATACACCTGTTCGAGATATTGTTCATTCGAAGAGCTTGCGTTTCTAATGAACTCTGAGTTATAATCCTTTCAAAATGATGATTTTGGCAATATTGAGGCAATGCTTACTTTTCGATATTTTAAGTTTCAATTTAACTTTTGCAATTAAATTACATGCATGACTTAAGGTAGGATTCTTCTCTGGTTTCTGACTGCATAAAATATTCAAAGTATATTTGCTTGTATGTCTTTAATATATAGGTGTAGGAGATTTAAAAGAACATATATTTATTTCCTCTGTTGCGAATTGTCGCAATTTTATTGTATCTTATAGAAATTTTATGATGTACATGTAAAGTCTAGAATGTTCTATATGTTTCGTGAATGAATTCTCAAGAAGTCTCTAGAATATGTCAGAATGTGATGACCTAGAATTTTATAGAAGTTTCTATTTCCAGAAGTTTCTTCAATGCTATATATATGAGAGTTTTTGTGATCTTAAATTATTATCGATTTTATATTGTGTTTACATTGAAGAAATATTGAATACATATCAGAAACCATCTGATCATCTTAGCCAGTGTGGTATTGTGATTGTTAACCCTTGTGGATTTGTTTTGCCTTTAATCGTCAGAATAAATTATAAAAAGAAGATTTCCGTGTAATTGTGATTTGCCACATTGTTTGTGCCGGAACCCGGGAATTGGAGCCTGAAGTCAAGAATTTATCACGGAAAAGAAGAAGATGTCAACCTCATACTTGAAAGGACTTTGTACAAGGTACAAGAATCTACTGCTGAAGGAAATGATCAAAAGTAAGACATTTCTTTCTTCAGAAGCTGAAGAAGAGGATTTGACAACCAGGATAAGGCAGATTCAATCTTCCTTGAGACGGTTAAAGGACTTTGGTACTAAATTAGAAGCAGGATGAAAGAACTTTCCATTGCCTTAATCAAAACAAGACAATGAGTCTGAAATTGAAAAATTTACAGAAGATTGTGAGAAGTTGTTTGAATTGCTCACAGATGTTACAGAGCGCTCAGAAGAACTTCTACTATTGGAAAAAAGACTGGAACAAGTGGACATTCCATATATGAAAAGTGAAGCACCAAATGACCCACGAATCAACCACATGATAGATTTGCAGACAAAAATGCAGGAACAACTGATGCATTTCCAAGAACTCCAGATTCAGGAACTGCACAGAAAGGAGAAGATTTGCAAAGAGACTCCAGTATTTAAACTACCAAAGTTTGAGCTCCCTTCATTCAACGGAGACAAGTTAAAGTGGAAAGAGTTCTGGGACTCCTTTGAAGCTTCCGTACACAAAAACACAAGGCTTTCCAAAATTGAGAAGTTCAACTACTTGAAAAGTAAAATGGAAGGAAAGGCACAATCTGCTATTTCCGGCCTCATGCTCTCATCATATTGAAGGAACGATTCGGAGATGTGCAGTCTGTAATTAACAAACATTACGTGGACCTTATAAACATTAAGCCTGCACTCAATAATACTTCCAGTCTCCGTAGACTATTTGATGATTTAGAAAAGCATATGCGCAGCCTAGAAGCATTGGAACAGGACGTAAACCAGGATGTCTTTGTTTCCATGATTATAACGAAGTTACCAAAAGAAGCCAGATTACAATTAGAAATACAGAAAGGAAAGAAAGAGAAGTGGACTGTGCAAAAGCTGAGAATGTTTCTTGATAACTACATAGTAGCCAGAGAGTCTACAGATATGGAAAACCTAGCCGGTCATGAAGAACAACCTGCTAGAAAACCCCCATCACCTGGAATGCTATATAAACATGAAAGAAAACATACATCTGCGGAAGCCTTAACAACATCATTTAAAGAATCTCCAAGAAGAAAATTCAAAGAAAGTATCCCATTTGTATCTTCTTTGAACAAAATCACTGGAGTGACGAATGCCAAGAATTCAGGACAGTTGAACACAGAAAACAGAAGATTAAGGGAAGATGTTACATTTGTCTTGGGCCAGGTCATCTTAGCAAAGACTGCAAAGTCGACAAACCATGTTTCCATTGCCATCAGACAAAGAAACATCACCGAAGTCTCTGCAACAAGAAAATGCTGCCTTTGAGAGAAACCTCACACTTTGTTGAAACATCCGAACTATGTGACTCAGAAACAGTTAACAATGTTCGAGAAAACAGCCTACTGTCATCAGGAAGTATGGTCCTAATGCAAACTGCAAAAATTGATGCATCAGATCTGATTGGATCGAGATTTGAAACAATCAGAATTCTCATGGACTCTGGATCTCAAAGAACGTATGTTACCGAGGAATTAGCTTCAAGATTGAATTTGAAAAGAAAAAGAACAGAGGAAATATCACTTGTCACCTTTGGATCCACGAAACCAAAAATAGTAAAAACTCCAAATGTATCTTTAAGAATTAAACTGAAGGATGGACACTATATGAGAATTGAAGCAAATGTTGTGCCTCAAATAACCGGACCAATACACAGAAGACCGTTATCACCTAACATCATTGAAAAGGTACAGTGCCAATGGAAACATCTACAGTTTGCAGATACCTTACCAAAAACTACAGAGAATTCAACCATAGACATCCTTATTGGGAATGACTATTATCTTGATTTGGTATCATCAGAAAAAATTGAAGTTGACCATGGACTTTACTTGCTCTCATCAAAGGTAGGATGGATTCTCACTGGAAGAACACAAGCTAACTTTGAGGTATCCAGAGATAATTTACACCAAATGCTGATTGTAAATGGAAACAATCTAACAACGGAATATTTTTTTCATTCGTCTGTCGATGAATGTTTGCCCTTGAAGCCATCACTAGACGAGTACTGGAACTTGGAAACTATTGGAATCAAGGATCAGCCCCATTCATCAGATGATGACAAGGCTTTAAAAAACTTTAACGACACAATAAAACTAGTCAATGGTAGATATCAAGTCACTTGGCCATGGAAGGATGAGCAACCTGAACTCCCAGAGAACAGAGAACTTGCTTTTGGAAGGTTTAAATCTCTACTTCAAAAATTAAAAAAGAACCCTGAGCTGCTTCACCAATATGATGGAATAATTCAGGACCAGTGCAAGCAAGGCATAATTGAAAAGGTGACAAAGAGCAGTGAAGTGAAGAATAGTGTCAAACACTACATACCCCATCATGCTGTCATTGATCCAACAAAACCTACCACAAAGGTACGGATCGTCTATGATGCATCGGCAAAGATCAAACCAGAGTGTAACAGCCTTAACGAGTGTCTTTACAGAGGACCAGTGATGCTAAATGATTTGTGTGGACTGTTGATGAGATTTAGAATGAAAAGGATTGCAATTATTGCTGACATAGAAAAGGCATTTCTACAGATTGAATTACAAGGAAAGGACAGAGATGTGACAAGATTTTTTTGGTTAAAGGATATTGAAACTCCATCCACAGAGAACAATATTCAAGTATATAGATTTACGAGAGTTCCATTTGAATTTATATCAAGCCCTTTTCTGTTGGCTGCAACTTTGGATTACCATCTTGGAAACTACAACACTGCAACAGCTGAAAACATAAGAAGCAATATTTATGTGGATAATGTTATCACTGGTGTAGAGTCCGTCTCAGAGGCTAGGAAACTATATACAGACGCCAAAGAGATCTTCAGTACCATGTCAATGAATTTACGAGACTGGGCATCTAACTCCACAGAATTTAGCCAGTGTATTCCTCAAGCTGATCAAGCAAACAGAGAAACCATAAAAATTCTTGGTTTGTCTTGGAAACTTTCTGAGGACTCCCTATTCATAAACAGTCCAAAAGATGAAACTCATATTCCACCTATCACCAAGAGGAAAGTCCTTCAAAGAATTGCTTCTGTTTTTGATCCACTTGGATTCTTCATCCCAGTTACTTTGAGAACAAAGTTGTTTCTACAAACATTATGGAACCAAAAGAAAGAGTGGGATGAAGAACTGACCAAAGAAGACATTCAGCGCTGGGAAAATATATCCGCAGACCTGGATGATATTCCCAATTGCCCTATTCCTCGTTTTATAGGACTCGCTGGTACAGTGACATACAATTTAATGTGCTTTTGTGATGCATTAACTAAAGCATATGCCTGTGCGGTCTATTTACACCAGAGCAACAAAGAAAGAAATACGGTCAACCTGCTGTTTTCAAAAACTCGATAAGTGCCACTCAAGAGAATAACACTGCCTAGATTGGAACTATTGGCTGTTGTCATTGGAGTCCGATGCATTAACTTTGTTGAACAACAACTGAAGTTATCTGTCACAGAAAAGATCCTTTGGACCGATTCCCAATGTGTATGACATTGGATAAGAATGAAGAAACCTCTTAAAACTTTTGTGGAAAGCAGAGTAAAAGAAATCAGAAACAACAAAGATATAACTTTTCAATATGTGTCTACAAAGGATAACCCAGCTGATATTGCAAGCAGAGGAACAGCAGTTAAAACTCTTCAAGAATTTGAACAATGGTGGAATGGTCCAGAATGGTTAATTAAAAGGAAAGACAATTGGCCTTCATGGAACAGTCAACAAACCTGTAAAGAAATGCAGAGTGTCATAGAATCAGAATGCAAGACTCCAAAGATAGTTTATGAAGCAAAACTGGTGGCTGGGGAGAGTCCTAACGGAAGAAATAACAACTCAGATTCTGAATCAACTGGATATCCAAACATCTTTGACTACCAAAATTTTTCATCATTTATAAACCTTACTCGAGTTTTAGCATGGACTCTTAGGCAAGCCTGGTTTTGGATAAAAGTTGGGAAAAGGTTACGTCTGATAATGATGTCCAAAGTTATATTGCAAATGAAGAGATTCAGTGGCAATTTATTGTGGAACTGGCACCATGGATGGGAGGATTTTATGAACGTCTGGTTGGTTTTGTCAAACGATGCTTAAGAAAAATTATAGGAAAACTCTGTTTAACAAATGAGCAAATGAGAACGATGCTTGCAGAAGCTGAGGCAGTCGTGAATTCGAGACCCTTAGTCTATATTGGAGACGATATTAATTCAAACATCACCCTAACTCAAGCGCATTTCCTCACTTTGAATCCAAAAATAGGACTTCAAGATAGTGAAAATTTTGATCCCATAGACCCAGACTATGTACCTGTTGCAAGTTCTGTAAACACTTTATTGGCAATTTGGAAAAAAGGTCAACGACTTTTAGATACATTCTGGAAGACATGGAGAGATGAGTATCTTTTAAGTCTAAGAGAAAGAACATCCTATAAATTAAAAGGGAAACGGATTCAAGACAACAGGCCGGTAAGAATTGGTGATGTTGTCCTCATCAAAGAAGATCTCCCTAGAGGAAGCTGGAAGATTGGAAGAATTTGCGATTTGACAATGAGTCAAGATGGACAATACAGGTCCGGAAAGGTAATGTTACCTAACAAACGAACATTAAACCGACCATTAATTTACTTTATCCTGTAGAATGCACCGATAAATCTGACCTTGGTGATAGTGATATGACGAAGGAAGAGCCAGCAGTCGATGTTATTCCTCCGTTACCTAGAGCAGAAAGGCAGGCCGCTGAGAGAGCGACAAAACTGATAAAGGAACAATTAAATTAATGATTAACTTTCCTTGGTCTTGGGAGTGTTGCGAATTGTCGCAATTTTATTGTATCTTATAGAAATTTTATGATGTACATGTAAAGTCTAGAATGTTCTATATGTTTCGTGAATGAATTCTCAAGAAGTCTCTAGAATATGTCAGAATGTGATGACCTGGAATTTTATAGAAGTTTCTATTTCCAGAAGTTTCTTCAATGCTATATATATGAGAGTTTTTGTGATCTTAAATTATTATCGATTTTATATTGTGTTTACATTGAAGAAATATTGAATACATATCAGAAACCATCTGATCATCTTAGCCAATGTGGTATTGTGATTGTTAACCCTATTGGATTTTTTTTGCCTTTAATCGTCAGAATAAATTATAAAAAGATTTCCGTGTAATTGTGATTTGCCACATCCTCGTCACAGTTGATTGATAAATTTTAAATAAAAATGGTGAACTACGTTTGAAAACTAGAAGGGAATATATTTTTGGCGGAATTTCGGCATATGAAAATATCTTCTTTTTTGTATCTCAAAAATTATTTAAGAACAATTATAGATCAATGAATTTAGTTATAATTTCTACAAAATCAATGACTTAAAGAAAAATTCAAATGTAAGTTATTTTAATAATAAGGAACTTAAGTTTCAAAATGTATCAAATAAATAAGATTTAACAAACAAATTACCCAAGTCAGTTGAAGCAACGTATAGAAGGTTCTATGCAATTGACTAATTATAACGCATAAGTGCTGAACTTATTTCACGGAAAAAGTTGAAACTTATTTTCTTATACAAACTTGGTACCAACGACATGCCCTAGCCAGTGCACATTATGACATCATATTATGACGTCATAATCCTGTACTACACAACTTTATAGGAACATCAACAAAATAGCTTCGGCTCAAGGGCATACTCAACTTTTTTTCTCCGGAAACAAGGTATTATTAGACGCAGAATATTACAAGGATTTATGATATTGCTGAACAAATATCGACAGTGAAATTTTTTTATTAACTATTTCAAAAGTTTTAAATTGTAACAGCGTAAAAATTCACTGTCCGATGTAAGTTTCTTAAAATTTTTATCAATTGAGATAGCGCCTAGGATTTGTGCAGCAATTTTATTAATTTTTATAACATTTATCTTAATATTTTACTTTATTTATTTAAAATTATATAGGATTTGCCCTTGCGCCGGCGTACCAAGCCTTAACTTACTTGCGATATATAACATTGTTGGCTTTTAAATGCTTCAAATCTAAGTACAGATTTGAGCAAAAATTCCGTAGAAGTGTTATTTTTCTCTTAGTAAACGGTCAAAACTTTTTGTTTTTGTATAATTTTGTATTTTTATAGGACAACTTTACTTTGTGTGAAAATGAGAAAATATTTAAATATAGGAAACATATAAAAATAACTAATGAACTCTAATAATTTAAGAAAAACTGAGAAAAATATTCGGATGAGCCAATATCCATTTTAGTTAAATTATTTATATCAATGTAAAATAATCTTATACCCCCTATATGGTATCATCTTTTCATGCAAAAAGAAAAAAAATCAATTTTTTGAAATACAAGTAGGGATTACATGATTGAAAACAGTATTTATTTTATTCTTAATGTCCAGCGAAAAGGTAATGCCCTTGACCTGACCTTGCCTCTAATATTAAACCGTCCAATTTAATCTCAGTGATACCATCACTTATTGATATTGTCTTCTTGATTCTGTGAAAATTTCATTAATTTCTGAATACAAGAAATGTGAGAAGAATCCTACCTTAATCTCAAATCATTGATTTTCATCAACAAAAATATCATTCTCTTGCTTCAGATACGAAGCTTCTGTACTCCTTTCAAAAATTAATATTATATCTAATTATGTGAAGAAAATTTGTAAGTTAAACATAAAGATAAATATTTTGTAACTCACTATAAAATTAAATAAATGAGGTATATGAAGGATATGGAGATAACGAACAGTATTCAATCAAATAAATAAAAATAATATTTTACTATCATACCTATCTAATTTGTATTTACAAAACACAGTGAAGCTTTGCTTTTTAAGTTAATATTTTACATTGTTTTGTAGGCTTGTAAAATAAAATGCATCCATCTACACGATTTATCCATTTATCTTTCCATAAATAATATAATAATGATATGATAACTTATCTTTCTCATCATTGGAGGGATATTAAACTTTTAAAAGCTCTAATTGAAGACAAAATAAAATCATAATCTTATTTCTCAGGTATAAAAAAAACTCTCTCACGTTTTCAAATGGGAGCAAAGTCCTGACTTTATCATAATGGTTTCGATAAGTATCCTTCAATTTGCTATTTGACTTTTTTTCAGATTCACAGGCTATCGAGTTAATATTGATAACAATTAATCAGATCCATTAGATACATAGTAAAAACCGTTGGTATTTTCTGAACATAATTATCACGCAAAGTTTGCGTTAACAATATTCAATATTATTTACAATAGGGAAATGTTGCAATTGATTACTTTATAAGCAATATCATAGAAACAAATTAAACGCTAAGCTCAGAAAAAGACAACAGTTATAGTAATAACAACATGCAATTTAACATTGAACAACAAAGAAATCCAGACAAATGTCTTAGTTAAGCTGACGAAGTATTCATTTTAAATATATCGTAAGATGAATTTTGTTCAATGTATTCTCTGTTTATATTTTCCAAAGCTCGTTTGTTCCAGCAACATAGAACTTTCTTCATGAGGTATCTTGGTTCTGAGAAGCGCCATACGTAAAATACAGGATTACAAGCACTGTTCAAAAGCACCATGGTGGCAGAGAAGATGTAAATTTGTTTTCCTATTCCATCGGTTCGGTCAAGGATTGGGAAAGTAAAGATCATCATGAAAGGAAAAAACGCAGCTAAAAATACACCCGTTACCACGGACACCTTCCGGAAAATTTTGGATTCTTCCAGTGAAGGATGTGTTGACTTTTCAGTAGATGATACTCTGGAAAGTCGATTACGAATACGATACACAAGATATCCGAACATTATGAAATTAAAAATGACGAACCCTAGTAAAATGCATTTAAAACTAGTGTTGACAATATTCTTTGTAGAAACAGCCATAAGTTCACAGGAAAATCCGTATTGTGCATCGTACCCAAAAAACATTCCATATGTAAGTACAAGTCCTAACATCCAAAACAGACAACATAACTTCACCAAAAGTTTCTTTGTAATGTAAGAATAATATCGCATGGCAAAAGCGAAAACGAAACAGCGATCTAAGTTCAGCATTGTGACAATAAGGAGAGAAACATTAATGAACACAAAGGCTGGATATTTCTTGATGTCGCACTGATATTTCTCGTATAACAATGAATTCGGGGTGACCAAAAAGATTCCAGTCAAGAGATCAGAAAAAGCCAAATTCAAAGCTAAAATCTTGATTTGGAAAACAAGGCGTTTGCATTTGTAAAGCAAGAGTATAGAAATAATATTTTCCACCAGCATGATGCCACCTAACGTTATTAATATGTGATCAGACAGAACCACAGATGCACTCGTGCCATTTGAGGTACTGCTTTCC